GAACTCAAATTAAAAACCCATGTTAAGCATGGTAGTTGGGTAGGGATGTCCTCTACTGAAACAGAATGGTGTAGTAGACCAAGTACTCTACCATATTGAACAAGGCAACCTATTTTCTCCTTTATCTCCTGAGTTTTATAATTAATGTATTTTCATTCCCCATCTCTCCTACTTCTCTACTGTCCCTCTTTCCCTTCCCAAGGGGTGACGCTGCAGCTGAAGGAGGAGGTTCAGGAGGCGGACGAGTTCACCTTCCCGCAGGGCACAGCCTCCGACCTGGAGAGCAACGGCTCCAGTGGCAGCTACTACATCAAGCAGGAGCCCTGACCCTCCATGGGGCACTGCTGCACCCACCCACCAACAGAGGGCCAGCCTGGGGGCAAGAAGGAGCCAGTCCACTCCCTCTCCCTCCACAGCACCAGAGACCATGGGCCCTGTGTGACATCCCCACAACATTAACATGGAAGGTCACCAAGCTGTGCCCATAGAGAGACTTGGGACAGAGTGGCTCAAAGACTAGTTCCAAACAGACAGCGCAAATGGGGAGAGGAGCATAGAAAAGAAAAAGTGAGGTGTGTGAACGACAATAACTTTACGTTTCATTTCAGTTTTTTGTACTTCAACAAAAACGTTTTTGTACGATTTTCAAATCCGAGATCTTTTTGTGCATCTCTCGTATTCGTTACTTTGAGGTAGGGTAATCTTTCGATGGATAAACTGTGATGTTTGTGAGTATATATAATCAGATTTTCAACAAAAAAACAGGGTGTATGTATGTAGGTATTGAATGGACTAAACCTTACTGGTATAAAACAATCACACAGATATAAAATAGAAACACCACCAATCAGCTTCATACCAGTTCCACACGTTCAACTAAGATTTGAGCAGCCTTCCACATTCTCTGAATCTTGCGTTCCATTTGTGTGATAGCCAATCATGACCGACAGCTATCACTGGGACATTACCAAGGAGAATGTGGTAGAGTTCCCAAATCTCTAGTTGACCCTTTTTTCACACTATATTTACCATGCCTTATTTAAAGTATGTTTACAAATATTACTCCTCTTGGCCAGCTGATTGCAGGCAAAGTTTTGTCAAATCTAAAAAATTATACTCTATGAAAAACAGGTCATCCACTGTGGTAATATTGAGTTCTATCACAGTTTACTACACAATGATATGCAAACCTTGACTCTTGTGTCAAATAATACTGAGATCTATGTGAAATGTTCTATATCTAATGTATAGCATTATTCTACGTTTAATTATGTCATAATTCAGAGTGATACTATAAATAGAGTAGATATTCAAGCCACTGTAATAGTTGGGCTGTTGTTCACTATTATCACTATCATCACTTCACTACCATCAACAACATGAGAACCATTTATCTAAATAGAGAATTTACTGCCTTTGTAAAAGAACATCTTCAAAATAATGTTATGTTTTCTCTACCTCTTTTAGAACTTTAATGTAATCTCCTGTTGCAAGGTAGTCCGATTCTGATCAAACCACATGTAAAGTTGATTTTCATGACAATTTAAATCACTTTGACAGCTGTGTGCATATTTCCTAGTAGGTGATTGGTAGGCCTGGGCTAAATTGTCACACTCACCGACTCATGATCATACAATTTATTCATAGGCCATCCTTTCAATGGGAGATATTAAATGAATGTCAATATTGATTTATAAAACAAAATATATCGCATTAAATGTGTATTTATGAATAAAGCATACAGTATAAAACAGAGCCAATTTACAAACATGATATGGTGATTTATTTTGTGCCATATGAGAAATGGAATAGGGATTATAATCGACATACTATATAAAATACCGACTGCACTCCATTGTCTCACTTTATATACCAGTAAGGTTGACAATTTACTCTCAGGAAATCTTAGCGTATTGTATTATAGGCTTCTTCTTCGTCGTTATGGTTATTGAGAAAGGTGTTGTCATTGGCTGTTGGTATGCTGAAATTAGGCTTCAGATATTGATGTGGTCAACAGTATTAACAAAATGTGTTAGTCCAAGAGCAGTCTTAAAGTAAATGTTACTTGTTAAACCATCTCACTAACGTAGAGACCTATCTGATTGTTATACAAGGTCCCATTTTAAGTGGATTTGTCATATATTCTGTCGCTCTAGAGGTAGGATTACCCGTCTGTATGTCACTGTTTAATAATGTGTAGGTGTTTGTTTTAACCTTTTTTGCAAAAGTGTTCAGTTAAATGTTAGCTCTGTCGATTGTCTTACTGTTGTTACTGTATGTTTCAATGTCTGGTCCTGAGTGAAACTCAAACTAGTATTACAGTCTCAATTAAAATTGACATTTTACGCGTTGGCTGGTGTAAACCAGCTCAGGTGACCATGGTGATGCCAAAGATTGCCAAAGGTCACTGTCAAGCAATAACGTCTTATCACAGTTCTCTCCTAACGTTACATTTCACCCTAAATGTCATAATAATGAACAAGGTTTGACATGCACACAATAGCTAAATATATGGTAAAGAGGCGTATCTGTTGCAAATACCCCTCAATTTCACCCTACATTAGGTTTGGGAGACGCAGTGAGATCAAAAGCTTTTAGCTGTACTTTCAATCAAACTTCAGACTGTGCATCAAAGACCGAATGGTGGAAATATACATTACATTATGTTAATAATTTATATGGCATGACTGTTTTGAGGCGACAAACCTTGTTTCCGTCATCCTTGTAACACAAATGTTAGACACGAGAATTCATGGTATTTGAATCAAGAAAAAAAGAAACGCAGAAATGGACTCAATATAGGGCTACACTATTCTGATCATGATGTTAATTGATTTCAAATGCCTTATTTCATCAATATAATAATCAATATAAAAGAAACAAGACTAGAGGGTGTGTTTGTTAAAACCAAAATATGTGCATGCAGCAGTGTGAACACCATGTCCTCTTGGGCTTAATTTATGTATAACTGTTGGTCTTTGCACTAACACGAGTATGTGTGCTTGTTTCTAATGTGAAACCCCTTCATCATATTGTCTTTGTATTCTGGTGCTATACATGTATATATATATATTTGATAAAGTCATAACCTTTTATTAAGAATGAAATTATTTTCAAAAACTGTGACCATGGTGGAGAAATTCAGTTCTTTTCTCGTATTCTGGATACAACTATAATGAAAGATTTATATTGAATTAACTGTCAAAACATTTTCTTTGCATGGCACTTGTGGGATAAATAGGGATTCCTGCGTTTTCTGTACGTTTTTTTCTTCGTCCAAGTATATCGTTTTTCCCCCTTGGTTTCCATGGTAAATGTGCTGTGAACATTAAGTTTGTTAAGCTACAGTATATCAAATACAAAAGAAAAAAAAATGTGTTTGAAGAAAGATATTTAGATGTTTACTTTCATTTAACATTTGTAATGAATCTTGCAATTTTGCGGAAAAGTATTAACGTAAAATAAATGATTCACTTTACTTTTTTTACACTGCATAAAAGTACAGTATTGAAAAGCCAGTGCCCATTGTTTCGTTGACTACACCATTAAAGGGATACTTTGGGATTTTGGCAATGAGGTCCTTTATCTACTTCCCCTGAGTCAGATGAACTCCTGGATACCATTTTTGTGTCTCTGTCCAGTATGAAGGAAGTTAGAGGTAGTTTCGTGAGTTAATGCTAACTAGCATTAGCGCTATGACTGGAAGTCTATGGTATCTGCTAGCATGCTATGACTGGAAGTCTATGGGATCTGCTAGCATGCTATGACTGGAAGTCTATGGGATCTGCTAGCATGCTATGACTGGATGTCTATGGGTATCTGCTAGAATGCTATGACAAAGTCTATGGGTATCTGCTAGCATGCTATGACTAGATGTCTATGGTATCTGCTAGCATGCTATGACGAAGTCTATGGGTATCTGCTAGCATGCTATGACGAAGTCTATGGGTATCTGCTAGCAGATATTCAGCATGCTAGTAGTACTCGTTTCTTGAGCCAATGCTAACTTCCTTCATACTGGACAAATAAACATTTTATCCACGAGTTCGGACACTGGGAAAGTAGATAAAACGGCCTCTGCCAAAATGATTTTGACCTATTGTGTCAAGATGTTCCCATTGAACCATGTTCTCTGGATTTAAACATTGCTATAGTGCCCTCAAACGCAACCCTAGACCAGTTCCAGTTCCAGTGCTCCCCCCATCACACTGGTTTAGACCTTGGACAGCAGGTGGGTGCAATTAAGTATGAGGCAGAACATAAAAGCAGCAGGCTCCAGACCTCACAGGGTAAGCGTTGAATACCCCTGCTACTAAGTTGCACCAACTCAAACAGGAACCATTTAGCAGGCATATAGGGCAACGGCCTGCTTCGAAGACTGGTGTATTGTCAAGTAAATCAAGAATGTTGCAGTTGACAACATCTACCCTTTTCAACGCAATAAAGGCCTACATCTGTGACATTGCCCCAACAGGCCCAAAGTACATTTCTACCAAAACCTCCCATCAGGCATGCCCCACAATGGAACGCACCAGTGTCAGTCAGAATGGTTCCTACACTATGGTGGTGGAATTGGGTTGTTGACAATTAGGAATTCACCCCACGTCACCGGCGACTACTCTGCATACTGTAGAGGGCACCCTGAAGGGTAATGCCTTAAATGGCATGTACATAACATTTTCCACAGCATGACTTGTCATTTGTTATGGATATATTGAAGCCCCTTCAATAGAGGCCCACATGCACTGAACAGAAGCCAGAGGACACTACCAATTATTTTATCAAACATGTTCACATGTCCCAGTCCCCTACACAAAGCCCCCCGCAGTTTCAAAAGTAAACTAGGCGAGCCTCGCGTATTCTAATTCATGATTATTTTTATTGACATGATTCTTTTTAAGTGCTTGAAAGTCACAAGGTACATGAACAAATTCCAGATCAACAGCATTCAGAATGGGTTTGATGGGGTGTGAGGAGAAAAGTTTCCAGTCCCATTTTATTTACTCATACAGGAATCCATGTTGGCAGCTCTTGTACTCGACAATCTCCTCTGGCTTGAACCACAGGGCAATCTCCTTGTTGGCACTATCGAGGGAGTCACTGCCGTGGATGATGTTCCTGTAATGGCAAAAGGCTACAAATCAGAAACTCTGCATCATGCGGATAATGGGCTTAGATTTATTGGAACTACAGCAGGGTACATATTCCTCTATACATGCCAGTTTGCTTGTAGAAAATTCATTATAGCTTGAATATTTCATCAGATTCCTGTCCAATGTTGTATACACCTTTACAGGTTGCACCTCTACTCACGTTGGTTGAGCACTTCCTACTTTCCATATCAGAGTCTGTATAAACAAGCATCAGTGGACACATACCTGCCAAGCGTGATGCAGAAGTCTCCGCGGATGCTGCCGGGTTTGGAGTCTGCAGGGTTGGTCTCTCCCAGCATCAATCTGCCGTTCTTCACAACGTTCAGGCCTTCCCAGATCTGAAAGCAAGGGAGCATAAAATAATGGAGAATTGAGTGGAACGATTAATTATATCACAAGCACCGCTCAAGAGAACCTGAAGTATAGTGTCCAGGGTGGCATTAGCAGTGAGCCACTATGAATCTAGCAATGAGCCAGCATTTTAAAACGGGCTGTGCGTAGTGCATGCGTGGGGAGGATAGTTACCATGGCAACAACTGGACCGGAGTGCATGAATGAGCAAAGGCCGCCATAGAAGGGCATGGCCTTCAGGTCAATGTAGTGCTGCTTGACAAGGTCCTCAGACGCCTGCAATCACAAAAAAAACTCAGTTCAATGCCTCAAACTCAATATTAAGCAGTTAAATGCCATTGAACCCTACTAGAAGCGCCTCTGAACAGATTCAGTTATTCACATACCTGGATCATCTTCATGGCCACAAGCCCCTCTGCTCAAAGCGCTTAATGATATCTCCCACAAGCCCCCTCTGGACACCATCAGGCTTGATGGCAATGAAGGTACGTTCGGTGTTAGACATGGTGCTGCAACACAGGAGGATAGATATTGAGTGACTGAAATGGCAGTGGGCCATCAGTGAAATGCACATTAATGGAAAAACTGCCTAATTTGTGGTCTTGGCAATCCAAATCCCCCAACCCCCGTAAACTGAAATTGTTGAATTAGCTGGAGTAAGCCAGGCCACTCTGCACAACCTTTGACCAATGTACTGCCAGTTGACAGCTCTTCAATGTCACCTAGACTGCTATGGAGTGAACAGATGTACTGTGGCTAGTGGGAAAGTGGGCAAGGACAGCACAATTCTATTCTTATCACCCATCCTGCGGAAAGTATTCCCACATGCCCATTCCATGCCTATGGGGTATTTAGTATGAACAATTTGCTTTCGTTGCCAATGCGCAACTGATGTTTCATACATGGGCAAACGAGACATTTTTTACTGGTACTGTAGCTTAGTTACTGTTGTACAAAGTGAACTCAGGCTTTAGTATAGTTATGTTTAGATCTATAGAAAGTACAGTTCACTACACTGAACTGCAGCCAGATGCTGCAGCAGTGTTAAACTGTCTGGTTCAAACGTCATTTCATTGAGCTTTTTAAAATAGTAATATTCAAAACCTACACCGACTTAACAGCATTCAAACTATAAACGAGTCATCTAATCAAATCACAACCACACCCTGCGCCGGAACCAGTCGAATTGTGCACATATTTGCAAGCTTGGCAATACATTAGTTAGCATTTTTACATCGCGATGGGCTGATTGTTAAATTCTCCCACCGTTTGAATGACAGCAAACCACGAAAAGTAACTAGTTAACTGGCTACGTCCCGATTAAATACAGATCCGAGTGTTACACCGGCATTAATATACTTTTCAAAGCGAGCTAAGGACGTTAGCGCCATGAACTTGAGTACATCCCATTGTTGAAAGCAAGCGGCCATATTTGGTACAGATCAGATGCCACATGGCCCGGCTTTCCACGGTCTTTAATCGAAATAAATTCCAAGTAGATTAAAGTAGAATTGTCAAGTACTTGCCACCTACAAGTGAGCTTATAGTAACACGAGAGGGACAAATAATTGGCTTATGGTAACCCGCAAGGCTTAACTAGTTAGCCATGTGAATTAGCAGTTGTCACCCCGTAAGCCAGTCACGTCCGGTGAAACTGAAATGCACAGCACCGGAGTTACCGCGTTACATTCAACTAATTAACTATCGTTAAGCATGCTATAACTACTCCAAGTCATTGGTTTACTATTAGGATGAGACTTAACTTTAAAAGAGTCACTCAATGTATATCAATTAACTAGCTAACGTTAGTTAGGTATAAACGGCAGTGGCGGCTGGTGAAAAATATTCTCGGTGGGGCTGTGCCATACTTTTTTTTTCCTGTAACCATCTCGATATATTTTAACACAAACTGCAGGCCAGCAGTGCTCAGTGAAACATTCAGTAATTATTTAATGCCAATATTAAAAAGTTGAGGCATTCTTACACAAAAACATATTACACAAACCCAAGCCTTTCATTTGCATTTAAAGTGAACTTTTCACCATTGGTAGTAAACAGGCAACGCAACAGGCATGCTGTCAGAACAGAGTGGAAAGTGGACAATAACATGAAATTATTATAAAGTTTATAGGAAATCTTACACTGTATAAAAGGATGTATAATATAGAAATGGATATCAAGTGGATGAACTCAAACCTTTGACTGGAAGAATAGCATACAGTATTTTATGATCATACTAAATGTGACTAATTGTTAATGTGCTCCAGAACTGCAACAATTAATTGATACAAACAACATATATACAGTAATATTAGCAAAGACACTATTAAGACTTTCTAGAGTACCATATATAACTGGATTTTTTATGCTAAGGTCAACTATATACAAAGAAACATGCGGCCAGAGCTGCTCTGTGTGTGTGTGTGTCTGTCATCTTATTTGTACAGGAATTTTGCCCGTCTGTCCTTCTGAGTGGCAAACCTCTCAATGACCCTTTGATTAAAGTCAGGAATGTCCCTGACAAGTTTCTTCTCCATGGAGAGCATGGCCAGAGCGTTCAGGCGATCCTGTGTCATGCTGTTTCTCAGGAAGGTCTTGATCCTTTTCAGTGTAGAGAAGCACCTTTCTGACTCAGCAGTTGTCATGGGTGTGGTGATGAGGATCTTGAGGAGGCTGGCAGTCTCTGTGAAAGTGCTCTGAAGGTTGTTCTCCATGAAGAACTGGTACAGGGGCACTGCACCACTACAAGCCTTGAACTCACTGTTCTCATAGATGAGGGACAGTTCGGTTTTGAGCTTGGCCTTGTTCAACATGGGGTACGCCTCCACGGTTGTTTCAAGCGCTGTATCGGGGAACTTCACACTGTGTTGTGGGAACAACTCTCCGTGCAATAGTGTTGCGCTGATGAGGTGCTGGGTGAAGGAGAACCTCTCTTTGGCATGACTCAGGATGGTATCACATACCTGTAAAAGATACATCATCAGCTTTAATTTGCAATTAAGCTATTTTGATGCAAGTGATCCTGACTGACACGTGCCTATGTCCAACTCAAGTATATGATTACCAAGGTGCTGATTGTTCAGGGTTTTGGCTACATACTACCAGGCCTGAAAATAGTTCTAGGGGGAAACACTGACAATTACATCACAACTTACCTCTATAGCCAACCTCTGTTGTTCTCCTGGTCCCAGCATCCTCCGTCGCTTGATGGGCTGTTGCTGCTCGTCAGATGCGCTGTCCCCACACAAAGAGGGAATTGAGGCCCTGGGTCCAAAAAATAAAGTTTAATTTGATAACTTGCAATCAGACTTCTTAACTCACTGTAATTCCCCCTCAACACACAACCAGTGACTTTTATATATATATATATATATATATATATAGACAGACAGACAGACAGATAGTGTGTATATACACACAAACTATGTCTAGTAACTGCTTTTAACCTGTGATGTACATAATTAACTGATGTTATTACGTTTTAAAGCCTTTTTCTATTACATTTGTGAGAGGGATGCAACATCATTTTGTTCTGCTGTGCACTTAGCAATAAAGTTAATCTTCAATAACAACTAGGCCTCTTCTAGAAATTGACCTGGTGGACACCTGAATAATTATTACAAACTGTGTAGTACTTTCCTGCATTATTATCAACGTCTGATTGTGTCTTCTCTTTCCTTTTAAAATACTAAAACAAATATAATTGTGACGGCTCTATGATAATCACTCACTTTGATGACCAGACACATTTAGGCTTTTAAACTGTTGTAAGTGAACTATTCATCTTTCTAACAACATCTTTATCAGCCAATAGTAAATATAGTTATTTACCTGATTGTTAGCATGCTGTCTGTGAACCTCTGGACAAGTGCTTTAATGAAGACAGGGTCGATGTTCCTCTTCTGCAGCTGGCTGAAAAGCATGTCCACATTTGGCATGATCTTGTGGAACAGTGCCAGGAAAAAACAGAAAGCCTCGTCTTCGAGCATCCTCACAAAGCCCCCCGCCTCTCTGACAGTCGGGGCATCAAAGTTCCCAGAGTCTCTGATGGTCTGGAAACACGTTAGGAGGTCATCCCTGTACTCGTACACAGTGTTTACAGCGCGACTGTGGAAGTTCCACCGTGTTGTAGAGGCTCTGGGGAGTCTATGCTCAACCACTTCGTCAAGCACGGTGGTTCGCTTGGGAGACCTGGAGAAGAAAGCAGAAAATCCTGCAAGGTCGGAAAAGAAAGTGCCGATCCTGGGGATGCGTGAAGTAGCCTGCTGCATGATGAGGTTCAGCTGATGTGCATAGCAGTGGACGTAGTGCGCATTTTCGTACACATCCACTATTTTACGCTGCACTCCGCCGGTGGCTCCCCTCATCACACTTGCTCCGTCGTAAGCCTGGGCAATAAGTTTGGCCTTTTGTCCATGTGAGAGTATGGTGCTGAGCCTCTCCAGCAGCGCTGTAGCGATGGTGTCGGCGGTTGCGTTCTCGATCAAAATGAACTCGAAAAAAACGCTCTTGGACGTTACTTTTAGCATCGATGTAGCGTATCACAAGCACCAACTGGCAGTGGGTGGAAACGTCAGTCGTCTCGTCAGCTTGAATGGCGATAAAATCAGCACTCTTTACTTCCTCCAGGATGTAATCCTTAAGCACTGACAGCATACAGTCCAACAGCTCGTTCTGTATCGTCTTTGACGTGCCCTTAAAAACGGTAGCTGTCTTCAGGTGCTCCTCCAGCACACTGTCGAGGGAGGCAACAAAATCCACTAAGCCCCGGAAAATGCCGGGGTTGTCCGAGGAGTCAGTCTCCTCGTGCCCACGCAAGGCCAACTCAAAAGCCCCACAGAACTTCACACAATCGATAATTTTGGATAGAATGTGCCTGTTTTTATCCACCTCCTCATTGTGTTTCCTCACCGCAATCCTGTGGCCGTCATCCAGCTGCGTAGCAATGTTCACCCTTCCTAATACAGCTAGCTTTACAGAGTTGTCCATGTGTGCCCTGGTGTTCTCATGTTTCTTTACCTTCTCTGACAGGTGCTTCATATCCCTCACTCCGGTACCTGTCCATGCTGAATCTGACCCCGTCGTTTTAAAAAGCAAGCACGGAAAGCAAAATAAAGCATTAGCATCAGTGCACCCAGCTAGCCAAGCCTTCCTGGTGTACCAGCTACGGGAGAAGCCGCGCATATACTGCTTCCCTTTCTCGCTAGCCTGCTGTCTGATTGAGAGGTCAGGTTGATCTGGGCCCAGCTCTTTCACCCGAACTTTCTCTGACAAAGTTCTCCTCTCAAACGGATCTTGGAGGAGAGATTTCACCGAGTTAGGGTTGGGTCTTGGAGGAGTAACGTTTGCGCTCGCCATTGTCGTCTAGTAAAAATGGCGCCACTGGAGCCCGGTCCTTATTTTATCAGGGGCGAGCTTGGGGCGATAAAATAATCGCCCTCCTTGGATTCGAATTAAAATCGCTGATTAGCTACATTTTATGTCATACATTCATATCTTAAATTA